ATAAAACTTACATCCGATTATGATTTGTTTGAATTAACCTGGCATTAGATTTTTGGGATGTGACAAGACAATCGCAATATGCCGCGCTGGGTGCGAAGAGCGACGCCGCGCAATGGACGAGTTCTCCTGTTTGGGCGTTTGACATTGAATACTGAAGGCAAGGGGAAGATCGACTTTTCTTGCCTCCACTTGAATCCACATGAGTTTCGCCGCTCCAGTCGACAAGATGCACATCGAGAACTTGCGGGCACCGCAGATTGTGCCGCGCGCGACGGCGCAGGAGATTGCAATCGTCCTGCCCGCCTCCCTGGACTCATAGTTGTTTGCTTTGTATTTCTCACTGAAAACTGGGGAAGTGGAAATCCGGCGAGATCCGCTACAGGAAATGAAGCAATATTAAAGGATAGCTGTATATTCTGTTCAAAGCGGTTGGCCAAACCATTAATTTGGTACTCAGCGCCAAAATGCTAGGGGCGCAATTGAGGGAAACGGCGAAAAACTAAGGAATTCGGTCAAAAAAAAACGCATGTGAAGGTAAGCTTCTGCAATTACTCAAACAGCGTATTTCGGACGAGTTTTCGCTAGACATCTACAATGACGCTAGCTGGTAGATATGGATGCACGTATTACTCATAAGTCTGCAGCAGCGAGCCGCTTCATGTTCAATCGCCCTTCGCTTCATGCTTTACTTCGCAATGAACCAATACGAACATCAGGTGATCGTCCATTTGATTGGGCGATGGCCTGGCTGGCGCGTTCGGGTGTGTATCCTTGATAAGCTTGATAAGGTTCTTATGGGAGTACTTTGCTTGGAAACATGCGCTCACAATGGTCGCTGCTCAGATCAAATCGCCTTCGCCAGCGGCATATTAATCCCCTTGGGGGGTTTATCGTGCCAACTGTCTTTGAATAGAGAAGACTGTACCGCCACTAAAAAAGAAGGGAGGGGAGGGGGTCTTCAGGTCGAAGCCGCCTTCAAAAAGGTCTGTTTCATAATGCAGAGGTCCATGCGGGAACATAGAAGTGTAGACCATTTGCGCTGTGCGCTTCTGTGAAGGGCAAACAAAGAAAGGGTGACTGATTGACTAATGGTTCGAACCCGGGAAGCTTTTGCATTCTCGGCAGTTTATTTTCTTGTTTTCAATACTGAGCCCGCGAATGCTCTGTCTGAAGGAAAATTTGTCCAAAAAGCATTCAGCATCTTCCAGTTCAAAGAACAGGAAAGGTCTTCGTCGCCAAATTCACCCTCAACTCGTAGGATTTTTCTCCCCCTGACCTGTTCACTGTCCGCGGTGGGTAGAAGGCTTAGTTTGACTGGGCCAGAGGGATTCCGGGTTCTGATTCTCTAAGCGTGCGTGTTGGTAAGCGTACTGACTTGCCACAACACTACACGCCTACGGGCGAAGTCAAACGTTTTCGTAATAGGCTCCACGTCATGAAATATCCCCTCGTAATATTGAGAAAATATTTCAGTTTTGTCGCTGAGCCTGCTTCGAAATAACTCTCATCGGAAGCCAGCCAGTGCCTTCTGAACAGCTCTAGGGAATCTACAGGGGAAACTGACTAAGCTACTTGTGGGAAGTCAGGATTAAAAGCGCTTGTCTGCTTTGGTGTCGTGTTGCCGCTGTTCGTCTTAAGAGAGTATTCCAATCATTCCCATCAACCAGAGCCGCTGCCTCCTGTGAATACCAATGAATTCCCGTACAGCTATGCAACAGCATGAGCTTGTTCACCCTTTGCAAGCCTGCAGGTAGTATCAATGGCGATGGTGAGACGTATAATTGAATAGGAATAAGTGAAGGAAAGCAGTGATAGTGCACAATTCCCAACTCAGCCAAACGTGGCCTTTCGGATTCTCCTGGAAAAACGGTCCACAGTGCGCCCGCAGTTCCCTAGCAGCTCTTGGGTGGGACAGTCTGTCTTTTGAGAGTACGAGATCAAAGGTTCACGGTGACCGCTTCAGCTGCCACTGTCAACATATAGGAACTTGAACAAGAGAGGACATCTATCTATACGCTGCCACAACCCACTGAACCCGTAACCCTTTTCAGGCCAGATTTCTCTCTTCCACTGACCAGAGCTCACTTTATCAGTTCGTGAGTTGTTCAGAACGAATAAAGCGACGACGGGGAGAGAGAGTGCATCGAGGAGTTGGTGGAGGCCGATTTGGACAAGAACAAATACGATGTCGTCCGCGCCTCTCCATCAGCCAGCTCTCTTCTCTTAACCCCAAAAGAGTCGCACACGGGTGGCGGTGAACCCTAAGCGGCCGCCCACCATCCCCCTGATACCTCAAACACGTCAGCACACGTCCCGTACACAATCGAATGCACCGGCTCTTCGCGTTGACCATCCTGTTTGCAGGTATTAGCCGATTTCATATACTTTTCTAGAACCATTCTAGTCTTTCTATAGAACTGTACTTTCTTTGACTCTGAGGTTCTCTTGTTGTTGAACATTCTTTTGACATATGATAGAATTGAGCTATCCCTGAGCCTCATACGTTCTAGTGTTTTCTTCAACAATATTCAATGAGTACTCGATATGAAATTTTCATTGGTAAGCTTTCGCTGTGGTAACAGCTTCTTCAGACCTCAAATAAAACAAGCATACATAGTACTTCAATTCCTTACAACAATCAAACTGATCAAAACGTCTAACGTCAGACGGGCTCCCTCTTAAAATCTAGTCGGCTAAAGGTCTGTAATACACATTAGTAAAGCCACACTCTTTACAAGCCATCATATGATTAACGAACCTACCCCCTGACCGACCACCAGTGCAACTAAAACCTACCTTCTTTTGAACCCCTCTAAATAACCGATTACCATTCCTCTAAGAGCGCTTACTCTGCAATATGGCCATGGGAATTTTCGCACTTACTTCAAGAATTGAAGAGGATTCTTTTGCACTGAATCCTCGTCAAGTCCCGTCAGCTGTGGTTTGACTGATCAAACCATCCGTGATTTTCAAAATGACAGGAGAAAACCCTTACCAGCAATCTGGGCGCGGTTTGACTTGGAAGGGGCATCTAGCGCTTTCACTAGGTCCTTTTGTTGGTCCATGTTAACTTACAGGTCTCACTTTGGCGAGACCTGTGAAGTATTGTGAAGCTGCGAATTCGTTCAAGTGAGCAACTTTAGTCACAAGAATTTACAGGTTCTCACAAAGTAGCCTGTACAAACTTAGCTGAATGACTTACGATGTCCCCACCGAAACTAACTGCGCCAACATCCCTATCCTCTCCCTTAAGACGATCTTCTACTCTCTATGTGTAGCCGGTATCCTTTTCTATCGTGTCTTCCTTGGACGAGGCAATTCAGGACTGACTGGTAACTCGCAAAACGGATGTCGAGCCAGAACTCTAACCAGGTACCCAGTGCTCCCGATTTCTACACATGGGCCATAAGCAAGCCAGCAAGCCCGAGAGGCACGATATCTGGGCTCAAGCTAGGCCAAGTGTTTTGCCCGTGTCCAGTTTTCCTGTGAGACTATGACCCTTTCTATTATTTTTTTCTGCTCAGTGACAGAGAGGCTAGAAAAGCAAATAATCTTAGCGTTGACCAAACTTTTGAACGCGCTACGTATGTCACTTCTATTCATAGCTGGAGGAGGGGCGAGCGTGGACGGTAAGGATTATCGGTTTCGTCACAGAATCCTCGAGTCATGAATAAAGTTGTTATAAAAACTATGAGGGCTATTTTCGAATAAGAAGAGACCATTTCAAGGCAGAGCATCCAGACTTTTCGAACCTACAAGGGGGGGGGGGGGCAAAAAAAGTCACTTCGACCGAGTCACATATCAGCAAAGTTTTCGCTGCCCAGACAGAGGACGTGGATACGAGTACCAGGGCGGAAGATACCCAAGATGTTCCTCTATAAGCAGGAGCTGGCTCTCGCCCATCACCTTCATGTACACCAAAATATGAAGTCATCTCCAGTCGCAGCCTGACTGGAGAAGACCTTTGGAATTCATGTCACCTCCAAACAGCTGCGAAACTTCTAGTATGCGGAGTCACCCATGGTTGGCTACCTTGAAGACCAGTAGCTTTTTGATCTGTCTAATTATTGAAGAAGTAAGTTGAGAGTAACTTACCGTATGATGGCAAACACATCAAGTATGGGGGGTTTGTAATAACCGAACAAATGAAAAAATTGAAGGAGATCTAAGAGGGTTCGAACAGGCAGACAGCGTAGAGCAACGCCTTATGTTTTCGCAACGCCCTGTAAACCGAAATGGAATGAAGCACGCGTCCGTGCTCATTAGAATTCGTGACCTTCTGGCTCACAGTTGATTCTGCGTACATACTACTGACCTATCGGCACTGAATGCCGCCCAGCTTTTGGGAGAATTCAAAGGAATTTTCCAGGGACGGAACTCGTAATGTCGGGAAGCTTCTGAGATAGCGTTTGTGTGAAAAAGGATTTTCGCATGAACGATGGTACCAAAATGCGGAACTTTTGTAGTTGTTAGGGGTGGTAGGACGACAAGACTGAGCGATGAAGTCCGCTCCGCTGCTCTGTCCGAGTGTAGGTTGCGCGCAAGCTCTGGTCACTTGCGCTCTGCTGAGGGCATGGAGCGGTATTTCCAAGTCGCCGCAGAGACGCAAAATTCCTTTCTAGGTATCTGACTAAACGGCCAGTGGTACAGAAAGGGCCAGGTGATTTGAGAGACACAGACGCGTTTCAGCGCTGCGACGTTAGATGGATTGAGTCTTGCTGTGAATGAGTGCATCCGCTTGCAACGCCTCTTCCGCGGCGACTCGGAAGTAACGCTCTACATCCGTTTACCAAGCCTAGGCCTAGGAAGAGGGAGATCTCTCTGTCACGCCGGCGTGTACATCTCAATATACAATAGCGTCAATGGGCTCTACCCGCCAAATTCCTCCCCCTCTTCCCTCAATAAAATGAGGAACGAATACGAATGGATATAAGAAAGTAGAGGGGCTTGAGCTTGAGTGAATGATAGCTTGAAACCTTGACAGTGATATTCATACTTGAATGTTTTCAGGAGGAGTCATCAGCAAAGAGCAATGTCGAATCGGAGACGACTGTGGCAGTTGTGTAATTACTCAAGAAGGCGACAAATGTACGGAGGAAATCACACAAGAGTCACTATATTGTGATGTAAAAACAAAGTGAGAATCAAAATTCCATTTTAAAAAGGTGGTCGCGCCAATGACGAACACGAAATGGCACATACTTGGGGTGATATGGAAATCGATAAGGACGACCTTCTTGATATTTTGACCTGCGCTTTCGAAAATGTTCCAATGGCTGATCAAGGGCGACCTGTGAGCAGCACAAACCTCCAAAGGCTATAATACCTTCACTACTGAGACCAACATTATTCTTTTTTGATTGTTATGAGAATGAGCATCTTAGTCTGAACTTCCGGGAGGGGGAGGCATTTTCCAGGCCTGATTTAGGAGCTACGATGAACCGGGAGCGCAGCTGCCTTTGTCCTGCGTGAGGTAGAATGACAGTTGCTTCAAATGGATATATCCCGCGAGAACCCATTCTGCTTCTTGTTCCAATGGAGTTTGCAGCCACGCCCTCCCCATCTCAGGGATGTGGAGTGTACCCCATCATTTCTACAGCACTCCTTATGGAGACTACCGTAACCGCCACAACGTATCAGTTAATCAAAAACATTTTTAGCAAGACCGACTTGCATGAAAATGCATTTCTCATCTGCAATCTGCTCAAAAATCGGATAGAACGTAAGATCTGCGGCACTGGTCAGTACTTCATCGATGGTAAATGTCGAAACGGTCATGTTCGCTACAAACGGCAGGGCATAGCCGGCTCAGGACGAGTCGGCGATTTCTGCTCGTTCAACACCGATTGTCTCACGGTAAGTTTTTGCACTTGTTGAAAACCTACATGTTTTGGGAAAAAGCACCCACACATAGTGGCGATAATTATCAGAGATTTTTTTCATTTGGTCCACATTGCCCATCAGTTGAGTCCTTACTTCCAACTGAACTAGATTGAACCAACCTCGAGAGATGTGGTATAAACCATCGGGTAGTCTCAGCTTTCTATCTGCCATGCCATGTCATACCGTTGATTGCCTTGCCCTGGAGCAGCCCTTACTCGAGTTAGGCAGCAGTTTTTCAAGCTCCAATGAGCAAGTCGACACCATACCGCCTGTAAGGGGGGAGATTCACCACTAAGACATGATTACGCTGCATTCAACTGGCGCCCTGCTGGCATGGCACATTTCCAACAACCACTGACCGCCCGTGGGATTCAGATAGCAATTTTGCCGTTGGGGGGGGGGGGGGTGTAAAAAGCAGCTCCAGGCTCTATTGTGCCCACATTCGGACTACCTAAGCTCTCCTTAGGAACTGTATTGGCTCTGAGGCTCTCCGAAATTTAACGCGCGCCAACACCTGGCTAAAGAAATACACATGGATCTTAGGGTGGGAACCGCAATTGGTGAAAACCGCTTTGCATCCATGAGGATGCCGATCATAACAAAATCCTCTCAGCGCCAACTGCAACTTGTTCAAGTCTGAAGCAGAGAAAGGTCTTGGCGTTTATCAGTCCCTTTTCTACGCATTCTGGTTCCATACAGGATTGCTCGCCATTTTGAAAGAAGTTCGGTCCTTGCAGCAACTTGTGGGAGGGGGGGGAAGGAAGTGGGCAGTTTCATCTCCAAGACGACCTCGAAAAACACCTGACGGCGGGGGAGAGAGAGTTTACTGGATCGAGGTGGACCCCGGTCAAACGATTGAGCGATTTGCTACTGCAGCACCACCGCCCAGGCCTGCAGTTAGACACCGAAAACTCGAAACAAATGTCTAAAAATACAAAATCACGCTTGAATTTTTTTCCGCATTGCGCGGTTGCACCTTCCGGAAAGGACTAGCATCACGGTTCGGAGTTTTATTACTTCTGACAAGTTTACGGATTATGACCCAAAAGACGTGAGCTTTACAGCAGGATAAAAAGAAGATATCAGACAAATACAGTAAAGTTGACATGCTATAGCTTGGCGTGTTAAGGCTGAGTTGGCCGATGCGAACCAGTTCTTAAACCAATTTCGCCAATCTTCCAACAGCTGTGAAAACTGGGCCTGCGTGCCAGGCCAGTCAGCTTCTGAGCGCACCATCTGTAAGCAAGACTGTATAAAAACACACCGAAATGCCTGTGTTCAGAAATGGCCCTGGCTGATTCCAAATGTGGCGTTGTACATGAATGTAACCGTCCCGTGTCAGTTTCTCTAAGTCTGTTTCTAGGGCATGTTTTGTTCGAACCGGTTCATGCACGTGTCTGAGCAACTTCGTTGCAATCCAAGGCTATTGCTACTTGAAGAAGAATCCTGGCGAGAGCGGCTGCCAATACGCTGAGCAATGCAGTGCAGTTTGGCCAGAAAGTCGTTGTGAAAAGTCCAGGTGTGAATGTCCAGAAGACGTCAACGGCATTCCTTATGTGCAGGCGAAAACCCGTGACGGCGTCATCTGCATCCTCCATTCGGGCGAGGACGGAGACCCCGTGCCCAAATGTCCTCTGCCTGAATAGACGATGATTGCTGAACATGGCCGTCTCACCAACTAAAGAAATGCACTGCAATGACGGATCCTGAATGATGCCGACTCGAGGAAGGGGAACATGTGAATCCGCTCAATTCTGTACATCCACCTCAACCGACTACACGACTTTCGTCGCTAATGGCGGTGGAGCCTGTGTCTATTCACAGGACCCCCATTCGTCGGATGGCATCTACATCGCCGATATCTACGACTGCGTCACGTCTTCAGCAGGCAATGGCTAACGTAAAGACGGCAATGGAGGGCGTTTACGACCTGCACCCAGCCGCTGATGGAATTTGCTGTCCTAATCGGGGTAGGTTCTCAATAACTTGTTGTCTTTGCTTTCGTTTCTATAAGAATAACATTAGAGGGTAGGCGGAGGCAATGTAGTACGGTTACCACACGTGCATGATATCCCGCCGACAGTTTCCAAGCCAACTTCCTTCTCTGATGCATACTTCTCTGCCTCTCGACTAGACCCTCGCACCATCGTACCTCCGCCCTTTCCAATCCGCACTGTGCTGCTCCTCTCTATAAGCCTGCGATGATTATAGAGCAAATTCTGTCCAACAGAACATGAAATCCCATGGTTCCAACAAATTATTTTCGTGCACCCGTCATCGCTGAAGTCAATAGGGGGCGTTCCAGCGGGTATGGGCGATGCTAGCATTATGTATGTATGTGTATTATGTGTATATGTGTATTGTGTGTATATGTGTATGTATGTGTATTATGTGATGCGTATCGCTGCGGCTTCGGATACTCATTCAGCAGTGGGATAGGGGCTGGAGAAGCGCGAAGCCCACGCGCCAGCGGCACGCCCCGACCGATTTCGGTGATGACGGTGAGACTTTGTAAAGCGTAGTTAGATATGTCACTCCCAATTCTCAGCAAGAGAATACTAGTTCCCTTTTTGTTAGAACGTATTCGTAAATGTAAGCACATCGCTCCATAACTGGCAGCTTACATGCATATTCCGTGCCGATAACGTGGCCCCAAAAACAAAAAAATACTCAATTGCGCATTGCCCTACATCACTTCAAAGAAAGGGGCGCACCAGTGAGGACTACGGTTGGGTATGCACCCGTTCGTCGTGAATAATTGCGTAACTATGAGAACCACGAACTGCAACGAGTTTCCCAAAAAGATTTGCTTGATCGTAGATCCATGTTTCTGGGATCGAATTGAAGTCAGGGTTTACTCACTGCAGAACAACACCCGCACTACAAAATTATCGTAATCCACAACGATCCTAATACGAGAGCAACCCTACCAAATCCAACCGCCTCCACTAAAAACTACAGGTTTTTCATGAAATTCCGCCGCTGTCGGGGGAAGGGGACAGGGGCGACGGGTACATTCGGAAGAGATTTTTTTTCTACGTCTCGACGATTCCCATCGAGGCTAAATAAGCTCCTTCCCAAACGGCATTCTCTCAGCAATGATATACTACACTACTTTGCATGGGCTGGAAATGGGCGTCATAGAAGACAACCAGAGGTTTACTGTACACCTCTAGGATAACACCTTCATTGCTTATTCCGAAATGCTATAAACCCTAACCCAGAAGTCAAGCCCTCAAATTATAACACTTTGAAATTTAGCCCTGTATGAGTGACTAAGGAGAGGATTGGTCGAGGGACTGCGCTCAAGAGCTGTCTTTGAACGGACAAGAATGGTATGCCGAGAATCGTCTCTTGAGGCTGACAAATATGAGAAAAGATCGTCCACGTGTTGGCGTTAGGCGATGGCAGGAAAAGAAGAGCTTCTCGATGATTATGGGTTGCGCCATGTATGCGACTTCTATGCCGAATAGTGGTTACACATGAGTGCGCACTCAGGCTGTAAAAAAGTCGCGCAGGTCACCCGAAACATATTTTAGTTTCTCATCATTCTATTCGAAGAGATAAAAAACATCTAAACCGAAGCCCGTTCTTCATCTTCTCTGTTACCATCCGAGACGAACTTGGATTGGGAGAATATTCGGTTGACCTGAGTTGGACGAGTTGTGGTAGCCGCCCTACTTGCCAATCCGCCAAAAAGGACACTCTAAATAATCACTGGTATTTTCAGCGTTTACCTGCATTCAACCGAAACGTGAGGCAGACACCGGCTCAGCCGCACCGGCAGGTGTGCGACCGCGTTGGTGGTACAATGCCGTCACAGGCACCTGTGAGCAGTTCATGTGGGATCCATGGGATGAGACCGAGATGCAATCGCCCAACAACTTTAAGACTCGTGAACACTGCGAATCCTACTGCAGAGACAGTGAGTTTGAATGTTTCATATGAAATTTTCGGCGCTATTCGACTTGGTGGTGGCAATTAAAGGTACACAGCTAAGCCTGAGGCTACCGTGAGCAGAACTGTAAATTCTTGTAACCAAACCGGCGCACTTGTACTGTTTCGCACTTTTTTAGTAGTCTACAAGTCTCATCAAATTGAAACCTGTAACAACATGAAAAGCCGGAATGAACTAACGAAAGTGCAAAATGCCCCTCCAAGCCGAAATGAACAGCGCAAAATTTTCTGGAGCTTTATGGCCTCGAATAATGAGGAACAGCAATTTCGTACGCCAATGCCGGATGAGCGTTACACTTTGCAACATTTTTCTTTCTCTGTTTATTTTTTACTAAACTTCCATTTTTCTCTCCATTTCCGGAACTGCTTGAAATCAAGTAGAATGATTGAACTGGTAGTACATGGCCCGAGTTTAGGCCCCAAACCGCCTCAAACCCCAGTTGGTTCGAGCCTAGACCTATGTCTTCCGAACTCAGTCTGTTCGATCCTTAATGTTTTGTCATCCCCATCAACCTTGTGAAAGCTTCACATTTTGCAGTGCCCAGTGCCGATTATACCAGTTATCATACCTTTGTCATGAAGAAACAAATGTACAACTCAAGGGAAGG